GATTAATAACTTAAATTACAATAAAATAAAAAGAAAGAAATGAAGTAACTATAAATTATAGTGCAAGAACTTTATGTTCTATTTTCACACCATATAAAGAACTAAAAGCCTTCTTTTCATTTCTAGTTTAACTATTATCACTTTATTGTATTAAAGTTCCCTCCTTTTTATTTTTAGGTGTACTATTATCACGAACATAGCATTCTGCTAGTTCATATATTGCACCAAAGTTCTCTCCTCTTCATTTTAGATGTTATTACGAACATAGCATTCTGCTAGTTCGTATATTGCACCAAAGTTCCATTCTCTTCATTTTAGATGCACTATTACCACGAACATAGCATTCTGCTAGTTTGTATATTGCACCAAAGTTTCCTCCTTCTCATTTTAGATGCATCATTACCATGAACATAGCATTCTGCTAGTTCATATATTGCACCAAAGTTCCCATCTTTAGCTAATTCTTTATAAAAGACCACATTCTCCAAGAACTGTTAAAAAGAATTAATAGCTTCGTCAGAACTGATCCGTGATACTTAAATTATCATTAATAATCACTAAAATCATGTTCAATTGTCTTTTTAAACACATACCCGTATCGTTTTATCGATTCTTGAAGTTATTGTTCTTAAAACTTCTTTAATACACACGAAGAACGACAGAACCAAGAAACCTTGAATACCACAAGAGTCTTGCAACCAAAAACTCTATGAGACGTTTACAGTAAACTACAAAATTAATATGCTTCGATTAATCTTATATTCAAATACTCTTGGGCTCAATTATTTTAGCCTATGTGTTTGTACAAAACGCTTGTAAAACATTACGGCTGGAAAATCAAAGAAGTGTCTAACTAGCTCCAGTAACCTATAAAGCCAAAAAAAAAACTTGTGTCAGTTGATTTTGCACAAAATGCTACCCTCAGGCTAGATTATTCTGTGTTTAACCACTTACAAGATCCATTCACGTTTATTCGCAGATTCGTAAGGCTTCACTGAAATAAGGCTGAAAATAGTGGTTCAAGGGTTTTGGTGACATAAAATCTAAAAAAAGTATTCGTATTTTGTTAATTGTTTTCATTAACACACCGCTTAATTTTACATTCAATCACTACCTTTGGGTTCAAGATTATTATCAAATACTCTTTTAACTGTTGATAAAATTCATATAGCTGATAGTAGGAGGTCATGAGAATATTATAGCTGAAAAAGATCTACGTACAACGTCTCAGTGGCCCACAAATTCAAAAAAATCGAATATTTTATGAATTTTTACTATTAAATTTTAATTTTTTTATATATATGTGCAAATGTAATGATGATCATCTCCGACATGTCGGCTGACTGCTATATATTAATTTTAAATTTATTAGATATCAATATATAAAAAATATATTTATCTTTTTTTTTTTCCTAGTATTAAGATGATCTCTATGGCTAGAGACTTTTTATTAAATAATTAACAACATTTATAATTATGATAAGAATATAACTAGCTACATATACAAGTAGTCTGTTTGAGTTCTACACTAGCCACCATACCTGCAATATAACTAGAAGATTATCTATTTAAGCTCTCTAGCTTTTACAAGTAAGAGTACAACTAGCCATACCTGCAACTTTTGGTTGCCTATTTAAGTAGTCTGCTTAAGATTTCACACTAGCTACCATATCTGCAACCCAACTAAGAGATTATTTATTTAAACTCTCTAGTCACAACCAGCCTGTTATTCTTTACCTAACCAAGGTGTAACTTACTATTCATATGCTAGATTTTGTAATACCTATAGATTTCACACCCTATTTAGAACTACTTTATCCTCAAGATAAACCTTACAGAGTAATACATATCCTACACATGTATTTACCTGCATGTTCGGTAACTTCTTTCTAATCTAGTACATATTGTGTTGCCGTTATCAAGTTCATGTCTTAAGTTATTTTTTAGAATACTGCTATAATTTAATCTGTATTTCAAACTACAACCTTTCTATTTTAGTAGTTGTTACATACTTCTTGTCCTTGTATTTGGGTTTACACAACTCCAGTACCTATATTTGAACTTTTTTTCTTTCTGGATTCTTTATCAGTTTCTTTCTTACTTCTAGCCAGCAACTTAGAAAGGTTGGTCTACCTAGACTTTAGATGTCTATATGGTTTTCCTTCTCTTGATACATGTTTCTAGAGCATATATTTATTGTTTTAATTTTTATCAAAACTACTAATTACTATTATTTTTAAATATGAAACTTGATATTAGTTTTATATTTGTTAATAATAAAAGTTTAAACTTTACAATATTGCTGCTATGTAATTACTAAATAAATTTTTGCGAATAGATTATTTAAAGATCCAGAATTCTTTTTTTGAGTTTTTTTTTTATTTCTTGAATGTTTTTTATATTTTAATAAATAATATTTTAACTGGTTAACTAAATCAATAGTTTTTTTTGTAATAATTACATTTTAGCAAGAAACATGTTTATTAGATTTAGCAACTTTAGCAATTTTTGTAAAGTTTAAATAGATTTCTTTTGACAGAGATTTTCTACAAATATAAGACATTGTTTCAAAGAATTTTTTTATTTTTTATTTTTTAATTTTTTTTTTTTATATTGAACAATCCTGTCTTTCTACTTTATTAGAATTATAATAACTATTGCTGCTTATTACAATAGTATATAAATTATCTAAAAGTATAAGAAAAACTTACTTGATATTGAAATACCTAGGTGTGACTTGCTATATAACTATCTATCTCCATTAGAGTCTTAAACTAAACTTGAAACTTGTTTCCTAATATTACTGATCAGTTGTTAATGCTGTGTTAGGATCATACTCCTTTTCTTAAAATTTTTTCTTCTTCATAAAAGAAAAAATAAAAAAAAAGAAAAGTATAATATACTATCAAGAAAACAAAAAACTAATATAAAAGAAAAAACCAATACAAAAAAGAAAAAACAGGGTGTGGCGACTTAGTGAAGTGGTAGAGTTGTCACCCCCAAGTAGCAAGGTCTAGGGTTCGAATCCTACTGGTGACGAAAATTTGAAAACTATATCTTGTATATCTCTTCCAGATATGTCAACTTAATCTGCAGTGGCGTCGTTCGC